AGAGTCCCAGAATGAGAAAGTAAGTACCTTCTACTCTGTTTTTGAAATGTAATAAAACAAACCATAATTTTCTACTGTGTGCAGCAAACACTCAGTGACGAGTACAGTGGTTTTCTACACTGATAGCACCTGGAAGTCAGTTTACCCTACCTTATTGAGAGAAGAAATCATTTACTGAACATGATTTTGGTGTTCAGGTCCTGAAATCCCCAGTGACTGCAGTGGTTGTGCAGGTGGGGCCACAAAAGGAAATAGACAAAAAAGCCTTCAAGGAATTGTGGCTTTGTTCTTGTCCACGTAAAGAAATAGCACTGCGACACATAAACTGAGCCAGGAAAGCAGGTGCTGTACCTCAGCTTTGCATTCAGATGCACACTGCTGTACTCATTCTCTGGAAGCACTAGTTGCAGCTGAAGATGCATTGCTTCAGCTAAGTGTGAGCAATGCTATTATGGCTTTTGCTCATAATGTGTTAGCAAGACCTCTTCTATTTATTTGGGAAAGCTTTTTTATATATTATGACCACATGTGGCAAGAACATAAATTTTTCTCTCAATGGAGAAGTGCATGCTTTCAGAAAGATTCTTAAAGATCTACTTAAAAGAAACACTTCTGATAGCCTGAAGGAACACAAGTCAGAACATGCAAATTTCTTCTAGCTGCCTATCCAGTTATGCTGTCTGTCACTGTGCAGCACTACTCTATTTCAATGCGAATCACCAAAGTCTTCAGCTTCCTAGTTTCATTTTACTGAAATAATAGGGCCCAATCCTTCCCTCGGTTAATGGGCTAGCAAATATTTCCCCTTCAAAAACACCACTTTGCATGAAAACCACCATGAAGTTACCAATTTGCCAACACAAGCAGCCATTTGTTTCTATAAGCGGAGCACACGGCAAAGATGAGAAAGCATTCATGTGCAGAACCAGGCAGAAAACACGAACAGCTTGCTGACCCAGCAAGCCCAAATCTGCTGTGCAAGCCAATGAAACCCAGACCGACTGCGCTCCTGCTGTCCAGGAGTTGTCCCTCTCCCCTCTGATGAAGGTGTTCAACTCACTAACCCAGCACAAAACTATTCACCCCTTACCGAAGCACTTCAGTGTGACAGAACCCCAACATCCATTGCCAACAGTATCAACAACAGGTATGCTGACTTGACCGATAGGTACTTGCTAGCGAATGATCTCTGGTTGCACATAAATGTCTCTCTCGAAAACAAAAGACTGCTGCTGGCGCCAAGTAATCCAGGGGAATTCCTAGAATTGGTGTGACATAGTCTGGAGGGAAATAATTTACAAACAGTGCAACTGCCTATTCCCAGCTGGCATTAAGGCTCCTTGGAGTGTTACTTTCCCAGTGCCAAGTCTAAACCCAGCAGGCCTGTGAAGTAGGGCAAAGTGAAGGTGGTATTGACCATCACCCTCTCCACCTCAGCTCACACTAGTTTCTGCAGAACTGCGCCTGTTCAGCCAGACTCATGTTTTGCACTGCCTTGATATTTTGACTTGTGTTACCAAGTGTTGCAAAAAAAGAAGAAAATATTCTCATTTACCATATAAAGCTTAGGTCATCATCTAAATTTTCTCACAGTTCAGTATATGCTGAAGATAGTCTGCACACTGATTTAAGAAATAGGTATCCTTGGAAATCTCTGGGTATAGATGTTCTTTCATCAGGCAATTCTTCCATGTGGAAGGGGGTATAGCCTTTCATTTGCAATTAAAAATACTCAAATACTGTTTGAGTAGTAACAAGTGCAGATTTTCCCAAACTAAGTGCAGATTTTCCCATAAATTTTTATCGTTCTATCATATGGCATTTGGTTGCTTGCAATGCATACTTCCCCTGATGGAGCTTTTAATGGAAAATTCATTTATTCAAAGTTAGTGATTATGGACCTCTTAAATCGCCCCACACAACTCCTCAGACTCAAACCACAAACCTGACAACAAAAGCCTGTTTAAGTTCTATCATGCTCTGGAAGAAATGACGAATTTTCTCCTTTACTATGAAAAAACATAATAAACACTGAATTAACAAAAAATTATCCCACACATTAGAGCCGGGATCTCCTTGGAAAAACACCATCTCCTGGTTTGTGAGACAATAAACTGAATTAAAATATCCAAGGGAGGAAAGAACAATGTCTTAACAAATATCCACAACCGTATATTCACAAGGATAGAATCATAGAATCATTGAGGTTGGAAAAGACCTTGAAGATCGAGTCCAGCTGTTAAATTCACACTGTGAAGTCCTCACTAAACCGTGTCCCTAAGCACCACATCTACAGTCTTTTAAATAACCCCAGGGATGGTGACTCAACCACTTCCCTGGGCAGCCTGTTCCAATGCTTGACAATCATTTCAGTGAAGAAATTTTTCCTAATATCCGATCTAAACCTCTCCTGGTGCAACTTGAGGCCATTTCCTCTTGTCCTATTGCTTGTGACTTGGGAGAAGAGACTGACACCCACCTCGCTACAATCTCCTTTCAGGTAGTTGTAAAGAGTGGTAAGTTCTTCCCTCAGCCTCCTTTTCTCCAGAATAAACAGCCCCAGTTCCCTCAGCTGCTCCTCATGACACTTGTGCTCTAGACCCTTCGCCAGCTTTGTTGCCCTTCTTTGGACACGTTCCAGCACCTCAATGTCTTTCTTGTAGTGAGAGGCCCAAAACTGAACACAGTATTTGAGGTGCGGCCTCACCAGTGCTGAGTACAGGGGCACAGATATTCTGTGGATTATCTGTAAAAACTTCCAATTCAGCCATATGCCAGTGAGGTGTTATCAACTTCCATCAGATGGCTCACATTCAAAGACAAATACTTTTGCCAGGGTAAAGGTTAGACATGTGAACATCTGACAATTGCATATATCTGAATAACTACTGTCATGTTAGGAATGCTTCAATGACCAGCAACAGATTCCACAGAATACTTAACCCAGCTGAGGAGCAGCCATGCATTGCTTGGGGGCAGGACTGGAGAGAAAAGGCAACAGCCTTCATGAGGGAAGATGGAGAGGATGCCAAAAGTACCTCTGTGAGGTCTACGCAACTAATGGTTGACTTGTGGGAGCTTCTGAGATGGAGAGGTCACTGGTACTGAAACAGACCTTAACATCTGGGAGCATCAGCTCCCATCTTAAAACCATCTGGGAGCAGCAGCATCAACCAGAGACATTACCAATGTTTAATACTGATCCACATCTTACAGAGCATACTGACTTTTGGTCTTATTAAATGTTCTCAGGTTTCATTATCATCTTAGTCTAGCAGTAGCAAGTCAATCAAAGGGAACTAAATGTGATAAAGGAAGAGGACCAGGAAAAGTAAAGGGAAGGGTTAAGAATGGCATACCTTTTTGAGGTATACGAAGACTGCTCTTTTACAATTATCTAGAGCGATCTCTGCTGCTTCTACGCTAAACCAATAACTTAATTCCATTTAGATTTCCTTTCTTGTGTTTCCTTATAATATCAGAAAAAAACTTCTTGATCTTTTAACAGTAAATGTGAAGGAAAATGGAAAACTATTCAATAAGATCAAAAGCCTGTCTGAAGCCCACCTACCAGTCACTTCTAATTTATGAGCCTTGATTCCTAACTTCTCTCTACTAAACTCATACAGTATGTGTGCCTCCAGAGATCAATTCACTGTCCCTAAATCAGGAGCCAGCTACTGCTTAAAATTAGGCAGTGAATTAGGTGTTAATAACCTGCCTTAAAAAGTCTTCTTTTTTTTTAATTATTAAAAAGAACTTATTTCATAATTGTTTTAATACAAGTAAAAATAGCAACTGCTAGCAACTACCTATTAAAAAAAAAAGGCAAAAAGCAAAACTTCTGCATTATTTCAAGTAAAAGTGCGGAACAAAGACAGCAAACACTGGACCATCAGAAACGAATAGCACATGTTATTCAATAGTCTGCACTTAAATATTGACTTGCTTTCTTGACAATTTGTATTCCAGGGGCCTGTGGAGTTCCCTATCATATATAGGGAATTACAAATATAGATGCATTACAATTGCATCTAGTAATCTCTTATTATCCCTTGCTGCAAAGGATCTCTGTGCTAGAAATGCAGATTTTGCATTTTCCTAATGGTGTCAAGTAGCAGTTCCCACTTATACAAGATGAAAAGCAGCTCTTACCAACAACCTATTACTAAATGGTGAGAGGCTTTGTGTGTGTTACCTTCTATTATTTAATTCTCTTCCAGAGATCATAAAGCTTTTATTTTAATTTCAGACCACTACTGTACTTACCTAGGTCAATAAGTATTGCATGTTGCTGGGAAGTTAGTTGTTTTAGGAGTTCTTTATAAGGTGTGTCCTTTGGTTGTGGTTTACTCGGAAACTGATGTTTAAGATGGTATTGCTCTGCTAGAAACTTCCAGATCTCCCCACGGTGGTGACGTGGCACTCCTGAGAGAAGAAAGTCATTAAAACAGTAATTTGTACTTATACTGAGGGTTCAGCTACAGTTGAGCTAACAGGATTGAGAAACTAAAGATCCATATCTGCTAGATAGGCACGCAGATCCCTGTTTGCTAGATCCATATCTGCTATCTCCAGTAGACCATAGAAGCAGATCTAACTAAAGTGCTTATACTTCCTCAACCAACAAAAGACATAAGCATCTTAACAGGAGAGATTTAAGGTAGAAACAGGGTGAGCTGCCTAAGCCTAAGGTTACCACTTATATTCAGTCTGAGAAGTACTAGAACAGGAAGTAAATATTGCAGTATTTGTCTCTGGAAAGTTATCTGCTTATCTCCCATTTTTCCACGTAAAGTACACAATAAGGCACTGCAATAGAAATAATGAACATTTTTCACCAATATAGCACTTAGACTGTTGTTAGGAGTAGGCTTTAGGAAGGTAAGGTGCACACATACCATAAATATAAACAAGTACAAATGAGATGTGATCTAAAGACTACAAGAGAAGGCAGATAATCGGAAAGCAAGTACTGGTTTTCTAGTTTTGCTACTGATTTGCTGAATGACTGCTACTTGTAAAAATGTTTTAAAGCTTGAATTTCTTTCTCAATAAAAAGAGATGACATTACTTAACTATTTCATATAGGTAATGGTAGCCTTCATTTGTATCTGTATGCAAAGCTCTGAAAGTAACAGAAAGGTTATTGTTGCATGCATACTTTATTCAGCACACGACTGGCACTATTAAATCATCTACACGAGAGATCAACACACTATTCTTTAGGAAAGTATTCTGCCTAATCCATGATGTACTGGAACCAGATATTACAGTTTGAAGTAACTTACGGCTTAAAGATTTTGGACTGTTTTTTTCTTTTGGTATGTATGTAACATAAGGATGGCAACGACAACAGGAGAAATCAAAATTGACTCAAGCATACAACTTACATGGAAAGATAACAAAACATACGAGGGCAATTTCATTGCCTTCTCTCATACAAGTACAAAAGGATATGAATTTATCTCTGCAATACTTTTTTTTTACTACACTATCATAATCCAGAGACAATTGCTTGAAAATGAAATAGCAGTAGAAATGTATAATATTTGAATCCACATCACAAGTGTATTTAGAGAATATTTCTGCAAACTACTTTGGGGAACTTAAACCCAATTATTGAAAAGTTTCCAACATGAAACAGTGAGGGAAGGTGCTGTTTCAGATACTTAATGAGCCAGGTTCTCCTCTTCAGATACACATCTAAAATCCCACTAGATTCAGTGAGGTTGAATGTGTCACGTAGGGTAGAACTGGCTTAATAGTGTACATTTACAGCTGCAAAATTACAAGTGAATTAAAATTCCCTTTAAGGAAGTAGTCCAATATAAAGTTTATCTCTGTACGCTGCATCGTACATGAAAAATATCTAGTTTACTGCTTCCTAAATGAAAGATGCACTATACTTAAACATCTACTACAGTGTACATTATAGGTCAACACTATATATTTGTTATCCTAATTTAAGTCCCATGATTATTCAAACACGCATTTCTTGTGCAAAATGTCATGTCTACCTTCTTTACTAAAGTTATTTTTAATGGTCTTGGCCTAAACTAGACTTGCTAAACTCAATTTAAATGTAAACGTTCTGCATACGTATGAAAATTGATCACTTTACTCCAAGAACTCTGACACAACTGGGCTCTAGAGAGCAAAGCATAATACTAGCATCAAGAGCTTGGGACAATTTCCTCATCTACTGACTACTTTTATGTGATTCTCATTAACAATCCACTAAGCAGGGCTTTATTTATTTACTTACTTATTTTGAATCACTCAAAGTTTTTTAAGTTTTATTTTGAAATCTTAACACAGGCCGGCATCATGGGATTATCAACAGGAACCAAGTTTTTCTCATGCTCAAAATATTCACTGGACAGAGCCCTTTACCTACATGAATGGAAGGATACCCGTGATAATGAGCTTTCCTTACTCTGCAGAGATTTGTGATTGGGGCATTTGATATTGTTAGAAATCTAGACTTACCTAGTTATCTTAAATGGACAATTTGGTTTAACTTGTTTGAACAATTACATATAGGCAGGTGTGATATTTAAAATAGTAAATATCTGCTTGTGGTGAATTCTTGAGACATCCTTTACACGTTGGAAAGCTTTGTATAGAATTAAAAAAGCTCCATGGGGTAGCCATCTTCGCCATTGGCTACGTACAGCTCTGAGCATAAGGCCTTCAGGTCCAAGCATGGCACAAATAACAGAGTAACAACCCAATTACTTAGAACATTTAAAAAACCACCTCTAGATTATATTACTTTTGATGCAGCAGAAAGAGAGGCTGGTTGCTCAGCCCTGCAGTTGTGAGGAAGACTGTATGTGGTGTTTGCAGGTACAATGCGTTGTTGAACTCAGAAAAAAGGCAGTTCTATAGAGACATCCCTGTATACTGTTTGTACGCACACATACTACTCAGGCTGGAACAGAGAATTTCCAGATAATAGTGCAGAGACAGTCTCTTCAGTTCTCTACATAGTCACTTCTTTGGCATTGTCCAGGCTTTTTTCTTTAATTATAACTTCTAATTTATAAAATCAGATTGCAACAATTGCAATACATTGAGATACTGTACAACTCTCCTCTAAGGACAAATGTTATTCAAAAAGGAATACCAAGTACTTTAACTCCAGTAATACAATTGCAGCTCCCGCTGAAAGGGAAAGTTACTCGTGTATGCACAAGCATGAAGATACCAAACATTGTTACCTGTTTAGTCAGCAACCTGAGAAACAGCTCTAGTGAGAATCTGGTTACAAGGAGTGGTTAAGAGGTCTGTTCCTTTTCTAATACAATTTACATGCATTTCAACAACTCAAAATAACGAACTCTGCTTACCTTGCCCAACAGCAGAGTGTATTTTTTCCACATCAAATTTAATCTTTGACCTTCCAGGTGTACTCAACATTTTTTCCCAAATCAAAGTTACATCTTTTAAGCATGGTGTGATTTCTTCATAGTCAAGTTTCAGACGTCTGTTCTGCAGATTGTTTTCTGAAGCTAGGAAGTGATGTCATGCATGCATCAGTTAATATTGTTTACTATTTGTAAAATAGATTGATTTAACTTAGAACTTCATCATACCATCCACCTAAAATTAAACCTTATTAATCCTGAAACATGTCTAAATTTCTGTGATTGTGGGGTGTTTTAGCTTTGAGGGTTTTTTTGTTTCGTTTTTTTTGGTTGGCTTTTTTTTTAAGATATCAAATACAATATTAACTGTGTTTGGTCTGTTAATTTAAGTTCCTTACAGCTAGTCAACTCTTAAATATGAAGAAACCCGAGAGATGATGACTAATGAAATAAACGCAGTATTTGCAGTATTTTCATAACAGGACTCTTCAATTTCCCAGCTCTTAAAACAAATCAGTGCACAAGATCTATAACAAATAAAAATACAAACCCAAAACAGTCTTCTATTTCTTATGCATACAGCTCCACAATAGTAATGACAAAGAAAAAAATTACTTAAAGACGGAGTCCTGGGATATGGTCAGCAGTTCTACTTGCAAAAATAATCAGAGCATAGGTTTAAGAGAGACTGAAAAGCTGCTATAGTATTAAGCAAAAATTAAAAATACTGCTCCTCAATAACACTCATCGAGCAAATTACAAATAACTTGATTTGGAACCATGTTTATGAAATAGTGTGTCATAAAGTGACTGTACTTTTTAACTAAGTTGCCATGATGTATTCACAGTACTTCATTGCTGCGATGACGCATTCCTGTAATGCTAACAAGACACTCTGAGGACATTCTACCATACATCATAAGCCTACTGCTACTTTTGACGATTTCACAGTACGAACTCACAAAATCACACTCCTATGCCTTACAGCCTTGAGACAATCTACATTAAAAGGATGTTATCTTCTGTTAGTTTAACTCTCCATTGTTTGCATGTTCAATTTGTTTATATAAATTTACTAAACAGTTAAACTCACCTGAAATTTATACGGCCCCTAATGACACTACAATAGCCAACACACTAAGCTCATCTTGCTCTGAGATGTGTATTTGCAATTAAGGTTTTTAGATTATCAAATTCTGAGCGTTGCAAAGGGTTAGCTTGTCCTGTACTCCCACTGGCTAAACCAAGATTCTACATTTTTAAAAATGGAAAAAGAAAAGAACTATTTATATTTGAGAAGTGTCCACCTTACCTCCTTATCCTGTAGTTACTTTCACATATGAATGACTTCATTCAGTGAGGTTATTCAAGTGAGTTATGATGTTACCTAAGTGTCTGCAAGATCTGGACCTCATAGTATTTCATTTTGACATTTTCTAATTTAGTTTTTGACTTTTCACTTCAAATTCGTATATTTCATTTTAAAACATGACTTTGGCTGCACATGTACTGACACATGATTTACCCATCCTGATACAGACAGCTGTAGCTTATTTTTATTTCTTAGGGTTTTTTTATTCACAGTTTCTTGTTGCTTTTGATTTTTCCCTGTAGATTATATCCTATGTTTAACCTTGGAAGCATGTAATTACAAGTACTGATGTTTTTACTGTAGCTGTGCCTACACTGACAGTGATTCTCTGTATCTAAACTGTCAATTTCTGCACATTTTCTTCAGGTCAAATACAACATATTTATGTATTAGAATATTAAAAAAAATTAAAACACAGATGGTATTATATGAAGATAACTTAAAAATGGCATTTAAGTTTCAGCTTATATGAAAACAAACTCAGAGAAATCTTTCAGCGTTCCGCCTTTTGCAATCAAGTGCTTTCTGGTACTGAGCAACTTGTCAGTCTTTTCTGCCTTATTCAGTCTTCTTATACCACATGCAAAAATGTGACAGTGAGTGTGACCTGGCATGAAAATGGCAATTCTTCTTTGCCTCTATAAACTTGAGGAAGGATTGTCTTCCAGGAAGAACTGTGTAGAGAAAGGGCCCAGCCCTGTGAAAAGGTCAGTATTCCAAACATGAGATCCTTCTTTAAACTTGGGCTGAGATTCCTGGCTGGAAGGAGAAAACACCTCTCTTAAACATTGGATATGGCCTCCCAAAACACTTAGCCTGCCTGTAGGCTATTTGCTCCCAGTAGTATAGCTCTCCTATTTCAACCCTGATATCTGAAGAATGACTGAGGAGAGAATATGCCTTTATCAAGAAGCTTGAGATACTGACACTACCCAATTCCCAATATCATGCTCCAACATTATCAGTAAAGATGCAATATACTGTATAATTAATATTTTGTTCAGTATTGAACAGTAGCACTCTTGAGAATTATTACCATATGCAAAATATTTATTTTTACTTCCCAGAGACAAAAGCATCAGAACACGTGGCATGACATTACAAAGCTGTGCTCACTGCAGCATAGTCACCTGTTTTTTCAAGTATTGTCTCACCACCTGAGCTCTTCATGCAGCAGCTATCTAGGACAACTTCCTTACTTCACGGTGCATACTGCACAGCCTGGGTTTTCAGTCATGCCAACACCCATCTCATTCATTGACTAACTAGCTTCAGGCATGCTTGTCAGTCAATTTGTGCTGGTTTTGCAATTGTCTCTTTTGGGCATGCAAAATTTGAGCATCTGATTAAACTTGTTAAAATTTTTATGGATATTAATGTCCTGCAATCACCAAAAACTTGACTGCAGGCTGTAGATTCAGATAACTCAAATACAAGATAATTATAAAAAAAAAATCAGGAGTATAAATATACAAAATAGAGAAAATTTATATCTAAATGCCAGGTCCCATAAAAACTACAAGTTACAGAATGACTTGATAGAAGCTCATTTATGCCAGCACTGCTCTAAGATGGATTGTATAAATCATTGCCCTCAGTACCTCTTTCTCCAGATGGTCTTGGCCTCTTAGCTAGAGGCATTGTATATTTGGTATCCATTGCCATGTTTTGTCTTACTGGATTAGCACGTACATTTGCTGGGAACATGCCTGTCACCTGTGGGGGTTCTTAAGAAATTCAGGTATCAGGTGTTCTTCAGATATCAGGATTGAAATAGGAGAGCTGTACCACTGGGAGCAAATAGCCTACAGGCAGGCTAAGTGTTTTGGGAGGCCATATCCAATGTTTAAGAGAGGTGTTTTCTCCTTCCAGCCAGGAATCTCAGCCCAAGTTTAAAGAAGGATCTCATGTTTGGAATACTGACCTTTTCACAGGGCTGGGCCCTTTCTCTACACAGTTCTTCCTGGAAGACAATCCTTCCTCAAGTTTATAGAGGCAAAGAAGAATTGCCATTTTCATGCCAGGTACCTCACCCCTTGAGGATCCAGGTGTCTACTCCCTTCCTGAACATCTAAAATCAGCCTGATAAGCATCTCTGTCCTCATCATTCACATATTCAAAGGTACAGCTCTCAAGGGCAATCACTTGTAACTGTTTGCAGCTGCTACAATAAAAATGTGTATTCTTAATAAGCTGCATTTTATGTATAAAAATTGCCACCTCAACAGGTTTGCTGCATCTACACATTCAGCCACAGAAAAATTTTGGTTAAGAACAACTGCAAAGTCCAGTTTCTCAAGCTCCTTCTTATCACCCTTCTGACTGACCTAAGCCATTACTACTCCATCCAAACCTTGCTTGCACAGTGTGTGTACACAGGCAGCCACCCATAGAAGCCCACAATCAGTTCGTTAAGAACTTCAGTTGAACTTCAAGACTCACTAAACAGAACGTTGCCATGACCAATACTTAGACAATGACCTATGGATGTGAATGTAGAAAATAATTCAGTTCATTATGATGATTGTCCTGAATTCCTTGTCAGAGCTTCTAGGCACCAGATGTAAAAACCCCAGCCACCGTAAAACTAAAAGTGTACCAATTAAGATCAAGTAAACAAATAATAAGGTGAAGAGATAAAAAAAAAGTGTTAATTGTAACCTACACTAATGAGCTGAGGCAGATGCTGCTAAACTGATTTATCTGTATGTTCCTCAAATGTTTAATCAAGGCTTAGTCCAATCCACTGTCAAGGCCACAGAGCAAACCAAAAAGTGAATCTGTATTGCAGTAGGGTGTAATCAAGAACTTCACCAACCTTGTAACTTCTGGTTTTCTTTCTCCATTCTGAGGAGCAGTATCTGCTGAATAATGGCTTTCTTCCACAACTCACGAAGCTCACGGGGTGTCCGTTTCCGTTCTTCTTTCACTGGCCCAAAGGGGCCATCTTCACACACTGGTTCCAATGGGGATCTTGGTGGAAGTTCTCCCAGTTCGGAGTAATCTTTAAAAGAGAGCAGCTGTTGTGAACTACTTAGATTTTATGAATAGGTGAATGAAGGGACACATTTTCAAAGATTGCATATATATACACATACATATCTACATATACACACACACATGCATATACAGGAGGTAGCAATATCAAGCAAGGTTTCCCAAATGACAGTTCCAAGCAGATTTACAAGCTGCTTCTGAATAAGAATCATATGGGCCAAAGCCTGGAACTTTTCTTTCTATAACCTGATAAAAACATTGTACCATACACCAAGACCACGGCTTGCTAATTACATCTTTAGAAGGGCAGAACTAAAATGGAAAAGGCAAGTTTGAGAGACTGCAAAAATATAACCTACAGCTGAAACTTGGCATGATTCAAGTAGCAGATCAAATGAAATATAACACCCACATAATTTAAAGAATAATCTCTAAACTATGTTTAACAAAGAAAACACACACCCTTAGTTGCACAAACACGCCACCACCTATGGCCATACAATGGGATGATTACTGGTTCTTAAAGTAAACATGCAGAAAGGGAGATGGGCACCTAAGACATGTTTGCTCTCACTTCTAATTTTTAACCATGTCATAACCTTCTGCACTTTTTCTTTTGGCTTAAGCTGGTCTACCACATAGTGCATCTTTTTGTCAAGCATGCAAGGTAGTTCTAAGAAGATTGAAAACACTACAAAAGAAAGAGAACATTTAATAAATCTCAAGCAAATTGAAAAATCTTTTCTTTTTAGAGAAAGGGTAAGCAACATTGTTTTTAATGAAGTTCTTAACATAAGATGCACAAGTTCTTACACTTTGCTTTCGTCATGCCTGCTGCAGTATCACTTAATTTTATTGTTATATACAGCTTCTCTGAAGGCTTAATAGTCTTTGGTATAATCTGTATCTAGAAGAAAAATTACTCAATTCACCACCTTTAAAATGAATGGTCAAAACCACCCATCTCTTCCTACCAAATCCCAAACGGAAAGCCATCACAACAGTACTTCTCCTTCAGCCAAGTGGAACAGCTGTAAAACGTCTCCCCAAGGACAAGCTGACCAGCTATGCATGCAAGAAAATGCTTTCAAATCAGTACAACAAAAAACATTCTCCAGATTCCAGCCAAGGACAAGTACATCGGTGCATGCTATCTCAAACCACTCCTGGAGAAGGAACACTACTGAAACAATTATTCTGCGTGGTAGCTCAGTGGTCCATTTCTTTATCATTGGCCAGTACAGTGATAAAGATTTTTAATTAAACACACACACACAAATTATCTCATCTCTATGAACTAACAAAACAAGAAGGTTTCCATCCTTTTAGAATATGTTCAGAAAGCTACCATGTATAGACTCACACGGTTCATATGCAGCTTTTCTTTTCTTGTTTGTAGAAAGGCACTCGCACAACTAAGCTCATATAACTAAATAAGAACGGAAACGTTCACAGATGTTGGCTTCTGCTTTTCTAAGTTTTGCCACTGTCAATCTTTTATTCTCAGAGTCAGATGCAAATTAGGGTGGGTCCAAAACCACCTGTTTCCTTACACAACATTTATTTGTTTATTACTACAGTTGAATTCAAAGGCTAAACCATCCATATAAAAATGGATGCAACTTTTTCAGCTAGCAGCACAAATTAAACCTTTACAAACTTGCACTCTTGATATAAGTGTGGATTGGGTATTTACAGCATTTCAGAGAACGAAGAACTTCATGGAAATATGAATTAGGCGAAGGCCAAATAGTTGACACTTAAATGGCAATCACCATTTGTTGCAAAGAGAAGCAGGAAACTGTCAGAAGTATTCGAAAATACAGCTGGTTATGAAAAACAGCAATACAATGAAGAAATTGTATTATATCTGTTAAAAGAAACTGGAAAACATTCATTTATTTTTTTTCTTTACAGGTAAACAGAAAGAACTCTGTGGGCTAAGATCTGCAATTATAAAAGAGGTTCAGATAAATGTCATCGAGTAGGAACACACACTTGATAATCCTCAATTTGTGTTGACAATTAAAGGAAAATTATTTTTATTCGATTGTGGGTTTTGATGCACACACTATACTGCCAACAATATTCTCGACATACAGTAGCTTTTATGTTGATTTTTCTTAGTGTATATTAAAGAACATTATAAGGGAAATGCTTTTAAGGATAATACTGGTAGAACTGCCTTAATTTGCTTGAATAAAAATAAACTTAAAAAACCAAAAATACCATCCTGAAGGGAAGTTTTTAATTTCCTCTAAGGCTGCATTACACACGCAAAGTAACATTGCTGTAAGAAATAGGAATTAATGAAAATGGTCACCAAACATTAATGCAAAAAGCAACAGAGATCTAGACAGGTACACTCTTATTCACTGTACACTCTCTGTAGTCTATTCACTTCTTATTACATTCTTATAGGATCCAATATAGAATGCATGTACACCTTGGAGGAAACAAATTTCTTCTCACCCTACACATCCTCTCAGTGGTTTACGGATCTCCTTTAGAGTCAAATAGCTATTCTAGTTTTATGCATGTATATATGCATGTATGTGTTAGAAAACATCAGACTATCTACAGCTTATGGTTACCCACTTGCAAAAAAAAACCAGGCTGCCAAAATACATGCAAGAAAATGCATTAGACACATTGCTTTCCTAAAGCAAGAATGAACATATCAAAGATTTAAAATCTTACAGTTTTTAATATGCACATTCTACTTTCTCACTGCAAATTTTGTGTCTTGGTCTTCAAGTACTAACTTAACAAAATATCACCTCCTAACTTATTGGAGATGTTACTCACTTCTTGTCCTCCAGTGATCAAACTTACTGTGGCAACAGTTGAACCACTGCAAAGCATTAATTACTCAAGTCCATAGTCCTGCTTCCATTTAGGCTGAAAATTTCTTGTCTATTACTGACTAAGCTGATAAGATCAGTATTGACTAAAAGAAATTTAACTCATAATGCTTAAAGACTATAGAAGAAAATGGAAAGGTTACAAAACTCTATAGGCTGAACAATTGTGATTATCAACCCTACCTCTAATTCTTCTGAGGAAGAGTCCTAGGATTGATTTTGCCTTCCAAACAGCAGCTCCTTTTCTATCCTTTCTTTCTTCTTATCATTTGTGAACATTTAACAGAAAGTCTAAAGTCTACTCTGATAAAGTTCAACACATTCACAACCTGCCTTCCCTCCCATCTCCATGCTGGCATGTAGCAGGATGTATAGAAACCAAAGTGAACCTGTTTAGCTGCTCAGATGGCTTGTCTAAAGTTTGCAGAGTGGCACCAGCTGTTTGGCTAGTAAAGGAGGCGGGGGAGGTGGAATGTGCAGGTAATCTCAAAACAAAGTAAAAAAACAGACATTTGGTAAGTCAGCGTTAACTCAAGTCCATGAATTACAACAAGGAGATGGACAGGCATGCCACCCGACTTAAAGATCCAGAACAGACAAAAGTAGCAATATTGTAACAAGAAACTGAGTACTTCATTGTTATGCACAAATGATCTGGAGGCTAACAGAGAAAGCAAAGATAAATAGTAGAGCAATTCAACTGAACATAACCGGGAGCTCACATTTCACTGAATCAAACTGTCATGTGTCAAAATTCAAGCAATGTGCAGCCTTCGAAACCTTTATGAGATTAGTAAGTGCACTTAAGCAGGATCTGAACACTTCAGCAGACACTGAAAGACTGCTTTGCTGTTCATCTGCCAACCTCATCAGCTTTTGTTGACTCCTATTCCACGTCTGACATGTACTCCTTTCAAATATGTTGCCCCTTTCCCTGCAGCTTCCATATAAAATTCTACCTCCATACATGGCACTTCTACAAGTATAGCACACTTCTACTCTTTAAGGTTCAGGATTAAGCAAGTTGACTTGAAAACTACTATTATATTTTATCAACACATGGGTTATTTTCCATTTGAAGTTCATACTTGGACTACCCTTCGGAACTACTCTTCTGTACAATGCACTTGTACAAGTCTGTTGGTCCAAACTAAGTATTCCTTGACAGTGTGCTTCTGTACAGCAGATCCATTCATTTATACTCAGCTCTTTGGCTTCATGTGGCAGTGCTTCAATCTTAAGACGCAGAGTTATCCCCACACTCCAAAAGGATCAACAAATTCAGTACATGTTGCAAAGATGTCTCTCATGTGCAAAGACGACACACAAAACAAGTCCAAAAGGCTATAAAGAAATTATCATGGTATATTGCTAACAAGGACCACACTAAAGAAAGTCTGTAAATTAAAAGCTAGAGAATGGCTGCAGTAGTAATTAAAACGGACAATATTTGACCGGTAGTGATATAAACAGAAAATTTCATTAGCTCCAGAAGAAGCTACAATGAATATAGAGCATTTGCTGCGACCTGTGGGAGAACATAAAGTATTCCAACAATGACTTACTAAAATGTTGCCTTAAACCTTATTTTTTAGGAAATTTCATTTGTAACTGACTAGGAAAAAAATTAATTGATCAATAGTTTCTTATTCAATCAATCTCAGTATTAAAAAAGGCTTTCCAAAAACAAGAAGAAAAAAGAAACCCACTAAGAGAAACCACATACACGAAGTAAAAAACAATAGAAGTGACAAAGCCACATAAAAGCCTAAATTTTTCAGAAGCACTCAGTCTAAACAACTTCAAATACCAAAATCAAGGTAACAAGATTAATCTTTGACTAGAAACTGCAACACTTCATGTAGAAAAGAAGGGCTTGTTTTATTTTTATAGGAAGCTAATAGGGAGGAGGCTCAAATATAATGCATTAGCCATCATCCTCACTATGGAGTTGTTTACATGTGGCTCAGTAAATCTAGTTTTTACCAGTCACATCTGCTCCCCAGGGTTAAGAAGTCATGCAAGATATGGTGAGAATGTGGATGGAAGAATTCCATCAAGCATTTTATTTTCTGCATTACACTATTTCTCTCTGTTGCATTTTAAACATTACAAAATTCAGCTTAGAAAACAAACAAGAGAA